AAAAAAAAAAAAAAATCTGAAAATGCCTTCTTACTTGGAGCAAAACAAACCAAAAACAAATACTCCCCTCCCACACACTTTGAATGTTTTGGTTCAGGCACTGACTGACAAAAGCAGTTGTTCACACAGACCTAATCCAAAGCTGAACTGTAAACAGTAAAATATTTATCTAGGTTTCCCTTGTTTTTATATCCTTTCTTGCTAAGTTATTACTATTAATAATTTTTGTAATGTTTATTATGGTAATATTCAAAGGCTAATTGAGAATAGGTCTTTTCTAGGACCTGTGCTTAGTGCTGTTCAGATCTAGAGGAGCAGACAAGTTGCAGCCTTGAAGACCTTAGAATGTGGATAAATATTAGGGAAAGAGCTAAAACGTATACAAACAGAACAAAGAATTTATTGCTTTTTTACCTTGCCATGTGACTGGACTCGGAGCCCATTACTTATTGTGGACTTTGGATCAGATTTGTTTTGTATTCCTACCTTTGTTTCTGCGTTGCTTTTAAACCCTGAAGAGATGCATGACATTTGCATGGAATTGAAGGACTGTACAAGAATTCCCTGCTCCTTGGAATCCAGCCTGTTTAAAGCCTTAACTCTTGGCTTCTCTTGAATTTAAACTTCGTGTCCCTGTCAGTAGCAAAGGATTATWTTTTAAATATAAATGTTAACTGAATGCTTTGCTTTACCTCCTGCTTRCCTTAATTGTTAAATAAATGAAGAGTCATATAATATAAAGCATTTCAGAACTCTCTTAAATCCATATTTTCGTGTTCTTTCAAAACTTGCTACTTTAAACTCTATATAGCCGCCTCCCAGTAACTCTCCATTAAATATTTCTTACCTTTGACTATTGCCTCAATTCTTGGATGAAAGTTTTAGGAGAATCCTTTGCTAACACTTTCCGATCAGAAATCGGAGTCAATTATCCAAAGTGCTGATCAAAAAGTTAATAATTATGGCACCAGCTTCCAGMCACACAAATGAAAGTTTTTACAATATATTTTTATAATAAGAAATGATGATTCTAATAAGTCAGTCTGAGCTGTCATAAAGTTCAGGCAACATTTAGAAAATTCTTACCTGTCACGGCTGGAGAAAATTGCTTTTTCTGCACATTTATTTCTTGGAAGAATGAAGGGATGTTGCAACACCAAAGCAAAGTCTTCTGTGTCTCGGTAATTCAGAAGAGAAGTCTGCTGTGCTCTTTCTGTAGGTAATTTGGGTGGCATCTCTCTCTTTCCTCTCCCTCTTTCTCTCCCYTTCCCTCCCTCCCTCCCTCCAACCAAATCAGTAATTTCTGCCTTATGCTGCTTTGAAGATCGGGCTCCCTCTGCTGTTATTTGCTGTTAAATTCTACAGATCCTTGAGATAAACTGCAGCTTCAAGAAAGAGCTACAGAACTGTTTGAAGTAGAACACATGCCCGTGCCACACATAAGGGAATAGAACCTATTTTTGTTCTCCTCGTCACTGCAATATTTCTGCAGGATTAAAAAATTGTACCTCGTGTATAACTAAGTTAATACTTCCAGTTTTCTCGTTTTTTTTCCAGTCCACTACAGGCTAGCATTGCAAATGTATTTTAGATGGATTCAGGCTTTAAGTCTTAAATATTCAACCTGTGAAAGCCCAAGAGGTACAGTGTTATTCGGGTGAAGAACTCAAAAATGTGAAGGCCTTGAGAAATTAGAAAATCCTGGAGAAAAAGGATTTGCAGAAGTGCCAGTTCTTGGTKATTTTTTCTCTTGTCTTTTCTTATGGAAACCTAGGGCAGAAGTTAGAGTTCTTATTTTTTTCCTCTTGCCTTGAGAAAAGACAAATAAACAGAATATTTGCATTTCATTTGTGGAGCTGTTCTCTCTGCCTCCTCAGCTTGCAGCACTCTTTGGCCGGGCTCATCTCCGCACCTTCCAGAGTTACAGATATGCTGTGTCATATTAATTCCCCCGATTCAGACCTTTGGGAAGAGCCTGCAATAGCAAATTAGCATCTGCTCTCATCTTGAGGTCGACAGAGAGCAGTTGCAGCACTGCTTCTGACAGCCTGCTCAGCCCTCTGCAGCCCTGAAGTCGGGAAATGACCTAACGGGGATTAGTTTGCTGTGGCATCTGGGGCTTTGTTCTTGACAGGTCTTTCAGATGCACTGCTGTATCAAGGTCTTGGCCATTTTCTGGTGAGGTGAGTGAGGCTACATCTAAGCCCTATTACATGTACCTTTTTTTGTTCCATGTCCAAACTGCGGAGAGAAAATACGTGCTATTAACAAGCTCATAGGAGGGCACCGTTTGTTTGAGTCCAGCTCTCCACAAGTTTTTGCAGCTGGAACTTGTGCATGTGCACACRAACACACAGGAGTAAATAGGTATAAACTAAGATAACACGATGAGGCTGGGGCTACCGCAGCTGTGCCAGGGTCTTTTTCTTGCTGCTCTGGAGTGAGGACAAGTGCAGCAAGACAAATGTACAGATATCTGTTTCTTTGCTTGGGTGGGTCTTAGAGCTTTGGATCAGCCCTCTGCTGAACTGCTGCTATGTGAAATGGCTGGTTTTAGGTTGGTGGTTATCCATTTCACTATACAACCAACACTACYGAGCAGTGAACCTGTGAACAATGTCTGAGAGGCTCCTGACCTGCTAAGCCTTTTGGCAAACGCACAGGGTTCATAATGATGGAAATTCCTTTACATGCAGGATTTGCAGTTGGAAAGGAACAGGTAAATAGAGTGGAACCAGCTATTATAAGTCATATGCTGGTCACACTGGGTATTTCTGTTCATATCAGTAGATTTGCATTGATTTTAGCAACCAATAGACAAGCTCCTGTTTGCCATTGATAGGGAATGTGGTGAGGAAATTGTAGCTGGCATGACATGGAGTCTGCTCTGCCACATATGGAATGATAAGGACACATGCTCCAATTTTCTGTCCACAACACGTATTCCTGTTACAGGCAGGTACTGGGAAGCTGCTCTCTTTTCTCTGTGGATTATTACATAAGACAGCTGGACTCTGGAAAGAGCYTCCTCCAAGGAGGTACAGATACATGGGAAAATGTCCTCTTGGTAGTGGCCAAAGAACATCTTTCTGCAAGAGATTATAGGGATAGCATGAAACGCCTGTGGGCTGCAATTAAGTATCTCCCCGGGAGAAAGGGCTGTTGTCATAGCTCTAGCTCATAGCTGCACCTTTGATGCTTTGAGCGTCTCCTCAGGGACTCCTAGCTATACTAGCCTTCACACACGGAGCCCCAAGCTCTGTCATCTTCCTCTCCAGTGAACTTCTTTCAGGTTTTCAGGGACAAATCCTTCCGCAGTTCATCTAGCAAAWCTAATAGTGGGT